CATAGATGGCAATGAGCAGTGAACCTAGCACCCCGATGCTTGTGCCAGCTGAATAATAGAACAATGAGCTCCTGCAAAGACAACACTTATCTCAGTGGCTGTACAAAAAGAAGATCTATGCATACAGAGAGCCCCAAGAAGGAGAAATTATTAAAATAAAAAAGTGAAATACTCATCTTCTAGGAGACAGCAAATAATCTGTCAATAACTGAGTTTATGACTACATAAGCAAAAACCTATCTACAATGACCATTGCAACACTCACCTGCTCATCAAGTCACTACAAAAGTACAGCAGAAGGCCCACAAATGTAACCACGAAGAGCTTGGGATCAAGTCCTAGAAAGTAAACAAAAGAACCTATCAGGTGTGCTGAACTGACCAAAGAACTAATAGATTTGAAGTGGGAAAACTGCAGTTCTCCAAATGTGATTGGATTGCAACTCTCAGCATTCCTTATTAACTGGCTATGCTGCAAGAGTTGATGAGAAATTAGAGTACAATATTTAGAGCAGGCTTCTTAAACTTTTCTCCCATTGGCCCAAGCCATTTTATATGACCACAGTTATACAGAAATACAAAATAGGTATAAAAATCAAACATTTACTGATGACAAATCAGCATTTGCAAAGCTTGCTAAACAGGCTGATTTTCCTATTTATGAAGAACTGTGGAAGTATGTTCTGCAGAGCCCATTGTAAACCTTGTCCAGGTAATCTCCAAGTTACATACATACAATTCACCTATGACTCATAGTTAAGAATGGAGATGAGACAACAGGTAGTGAGAGGAAATCTACCCCGAGGAAGGGAAGTGTACTCCTGAAAGAATTATCACAGGGAAAAGGTGTCTCCACTAAAGCTTTATAATCAATTCTTGTTTCCACAAGAAGCCACATTTTTTTCAAAATCCAATTATCACAGGGACAGAAAGTGAAGTGATATCTTCCAAACAGGAGAACAGGCAGCAAAACAAATGCCACAGAAGTGTTAAACCTTCCCTATGCTATCCAAAATTAATATGAATATACTCATTTGGCTGGACTTACATTTAAAAATGTACCTGTTCCTACTTACATACAAATTCAGATTAAGAACAAATCTACAGAATCAATCTTGCCTGTAACTTTTACAGCTGCCAGATATTTCTAACACAAAACACTGAGCTAAGGGCACCACCCATTTGGGATCCACAGTTTAAGAGACAGTGATCCAGAGGACCGTATTCCTGTCCTAGATTCCTTGTATTCAACAATAGCCCCTTGTGGCTTCCAAGGCACATGTCTATACAGGACTAATGCCACAGAGCTTGCAATGATTTTTCTTTCTACACAGAATGGGATATGCAAAAATATAGTTGATTCGCTAACCCAATCTACCCCACCCACTAGGGTAAAGGAGAGATAACTATTAAAGAGCAAGCAGACTTTGCTCTGTGGCAGTGGTTCTCTATCTGTGGGTACCCAGATGTTTTGGCCTTCAACTACCAGAAATCCTAACAGCTGGTAAACTGGCTGGGAATTCTAGGAGTTGTAGGCCAAAAACATCTGGGGATCCACAGGTTGAGAACCACTGCTCTATGGGGATTGGCCTTCTTGGGGAACATAATCCTGATTAGTTCTGGATACTTTAGTAAAGAAATGATACCTGTGGTAGAACTCTGTGAACGCTCTTGGAGCTATGTGTAAGGGAAGTGGGAGAGAGCTCTCTCCTACAGAGGAATATGAATACAAGTTCATCTCCATAAGGAACTTGGCTATTCTATTTTAGTTGACTTTAAGATGAACTACTCCCATGCAATTACACTATGCAACAAGATTTGGGGGGGAAATCTGTTCCTGGTTTGAAAGTGTTATTTCCTGTTTAACTGTGCAATACTTACTTTGAAAGTAGTTATCCTCTAGAAACTTCATTACTGTGACTGCCACAAACTATATTGAATTGACTGAGACTTGATGAGATATTCATTGAAAAACTATAGCAAAATGTGCTGCAGGATGTCCCCCACAACCAAAGTTTTTGCAGTTTAAATAACTTTTCCCAGGTTTTTATGACAGAACCCATCAGGAAATGGCATTTATAACCAGGAACAAAAATCATGTTACATAGTGTTATTCAACTGTGGTACTTTGTATTTGTTCAGTTAAGCAGACAGGAGAAGCTAACGCCAACAGTGCATTCTAGGGGATCCCATTTATAGTACTGCATAAACCAGTTCATTAAAAGTTCCATATTACATCATCAGCCCAGTTGCTATCCTTGTAATCCTGAGGCTACACAGACAGAGAATCCAACAGTTACTATTCTCAGAATTAGGAAAGAACAAGACTAATCTAGTGCAGTAGCAATACTAGATGACAACTTTCTCAACATTTCAGCAATCAATATAAAACAACACATACTACGAGCAACGATGACACTGTAATGCGAGGGTAGTTCAATGGGCTCAACTTTCAGGCAGGTTTTACTACTGTAGAGGCCTACAGCAATGTAAGTATCATTGAGCTTCTCTTTGAAGAAGGAACCAATGTAGTTCCATATGTTGAACCCCTCCAGTTCTTTCAGCTTCTCCTCATTTTCAACTTGGATGACCCGGATCATCTTGTCACTTTTCACTCGAATCTGTACAAAGTGAAGAAGAAAAGGACAACGCGTAATGCAAAACCACCACAATGTCAGCTTAAAAAGATATTTGAATCCACCACTACACATATTGGATAGAGTTGTGGAGCATTTACTTTATAAGGAAATTATTAAGATACTGGGGAGAAAACGACAAAACAGAAAAACTCACTCTTCTAAAGTTGAACTTTACTGTTCAATTAACTGAGCAGGAGGTAAATCAATGCCCCTGAGAAATTAAACCACTTCATAATTGGAAGGTCTTTCTTGATCTCCGGCTGCAGGACCCTTCTACACTGCTTTATAATCCACATTAACTACTTTGAGCTAGATTATCTGAGTCTACACTACCATATAATCCAGTTCAAGCGCAGAGAATCTGGATTTTATATGGCAGTGTAGAAGGGGCCTAGGAGAGTGGAGAGTGATTCGTTGATACTGCCAATCAGGCCCCTTCTACACTGCCATATAATTCAGATGGTCAAAGCAGATAATTCATATGATCTGTTTTGAACTGGATTATCGGAGTCTATACTGCCATATAATCCTATTACCATCGTTAGAATATACCAAGAATACAATCACAAAAAAAGACACTCGACGACCTTCTTCATTGCCATGTAATCCAGATTATCAAAGCAAATGAGCCCTAAACGGTTCTGGCCCAAGCTACCTATCCGAACGTATCTCTGCCTATCAGCCCGCCAGGACCCTAAGATCTTCTGGGGAGGCCCTGCTCTCTATCCCGCCTGCTTCACAGGTGCAGCTGGCGGGGACGAGAGACAGGGCCTTTTCTGTGGTGGCCCCTTGGCTGTGGAACGCCCTTCCTATGGAGGTTAGATCAGCCCCCTTGCTAATGGTGTTTCGAAGAAGATTAAAAACTTGGATGTGTGAATGGGCATTCGAATAAACAGTGCAATGAATGTGATTACAGGAATGGAAATATGGACGACGAATTGGATCACGACTCTAGTTATGAGATGTATTGTGTTGTTTATTGTTGTATCAATATTGTATACTATGCGATATAAATTGTATATCGCTGATTGATTTTTATCCTTGTTGTAAACTGCATTGAGTCGCATGTTGGGCTGAGAAACTGCGGTATACAAGTAAAGTAAAAAAAAATAAATGATCCACATTATCTGCTTTGAACCGGATTATACGAGTTTACATCGCCATATAATCCAGTTCAAAGCAGATCATCTGGATTTTATATGGCAGTGTAGAAGGGGCCTCAGACCCCTGAGGCACCTTCTACACTAGATTTAATTTAATTTAAACTAGCAAAGCAGCAGTGAAATGAGTAGTACAATGTAGAGAATGCAAAAACAAATCGTTTAGAGATAAGCTGGATAACTCATAAAGGCCAGTAGTTATATCATGCTACAACATAACAAGGGCTACAAAAGGTAGCCTTGTATTTGACATCACTGATTTATTTCTCAAGCCTTGAAGTAAAATAATAACAGTACAAGATGTTGCTCCTCTTAGTGCAATTAGCACAAGTAATAACATGTATGGACTTTTGTGGCATACTCCACATCAGGCTACCTTTGAAAAGTACTGTATTTTCTGGCATATAAGACTACTCTTTAACCCAGGAAAATCTTCTCAAAAGTTAGGAGTCATCTTATACGTGAGTGCTGAAACTTCCAAGCCGGACTGGAGAAGGAAGTACCATAATAGGATACAAGGGCAGGCCAGGCGTGTAAAAGAGGCGTGTTTTTCTGGGCACAGCGCCACTCTAGCTCTTTTTTCCATACCGTACTTGTACAACGCCGCTCTTTCTGCTTTTATACAGTCACCACATACAGCGGGGATGTGGTTGCGGCCGTTTTTGAGCTCTCCCCACCATATGCGGCGACCGTATGAAAGCAGAAAGAGCAGCGTTGTACAAGTACGATATGGAAAAAAAGAGCTAGAGCGGTGCTGTGCCCAGAAAAACACGACTCTTTCACACGTCTGGCCCGCCCTTGTATCCTATTACTGTACTTCCTTCTCTGCCTCTCAGATCTTGCTCCTGAGAACTGCAGTGAAGCAGCGCAGGCACACATGTACAAGATCTGAGAGGCAGAGAAGGAGGTACGGTAATAGGAAAATTACCATATTGAAATCAAATCTGATGTTTTAAATTTTTTATTTGGCGTGCATTGGAAGACGGCGAGTATATCCCAAACTCTATATTTTAACTGGAATGGTGGGGGTTGTCTTATACGCCCATTCATCTTATATGTTGGAAAATACGGTATTTGGAAACTTCAACTGGTACAAAATATTGTGACCAGGGATTAATCGGGCTAGTTAATGGATGTATGTGGCTTCCCGCTTACAACAGTTGCTATAACTGGTTACTGGTCCATTTCCAAGCACAAGAGCACTTGTTATGAGCCTTTTAGTATGTAATAACTGGCTTGAAAAACTGTAGTCTCCAATAGGAGCTAGCCAGGTTTTAAGGTCCCAAGTAGCCATAGCAGGAAACAAAAGACAATGCACCAGGTTTTATCGTTTTAAAAAACTGTATGCAACGACTTAGCAATGATTTACCGAATCTAGCATTAGTTCTCTTTAATATTTTGGGGCAAATACGGTTCACATTTTAATAGGTTTCAAGAAACAGAAAGGACTCTAATTCTTACCTGAATCCGTGTCCATATATCATGCCATTTTGGTATCAAGTCATTTGTATAGCAAAACCGCTCTGGGGAATTGTTTCTATATTCGATGTTTTCTTTAAGTTGAAACACCTGTCCACCTTCAAGTTCAAATAAAGAAAACTATATTGTAATGTGACAATAACACTGCAAATAACCCAATTTGAGATCAGAGGCTGGTATGTGCACTGCTAGTCTCAATCTAAATCACGTGAAATCTGTCTCATGATCCCTGAAATAGCACCCCAACATATCAGGAATCATACACCAAGCCTGTGAGTTGTAGTATTCAACAAACTGCGGCCATTAACAGTAAACAAACTCCAGCAAAAACATGTTGATTTGATTAAAAAAAACCCATTAACCATTATTTTACTTTAATTGAACAAGGCCACTATGGGCTTTCAAAAACACTTTTTTAAAAAAACATGTGAGACTAGTGCCCCTTCTACAGGGCTATGTAAAATATGCTTTGGACATGATTATATGGCAGTGTAGACTCATTTAATCTAGTTCAAAGCAGATAATCTGGGGCCCTTCCATAGAGTCATATAACCCAGAATATTAAGGCAGATAATCCAAAATATAATTATTATTATTATTATTATTATTATTATTATTTATGGGACTCAAAGCAACTCACATTTTAAAAACAGTACAAACAACAGACATATATAACAATAAAGCCATCCATAAGAATGACATAAATAAACATTCTAAAATCATTTAACAATCATTGCAGAGACTCATCGATTAAAATAACAAGGACTTTGCACAACTCAAGGCAAGTTAGTCTTCCTGTCATTTCAGACTGCTTGGGGATTGCATAAATATGTGGTTTGAAATGGATTATCTGGGTCCACAGTGCAATGTAATCTAATTCAATGTGGATTTTATACAACTGTGTGGAAGGGGGCCTGGACTACCTGCTTTGAAATTATATGGGGTCTGCTGAGCTGCTGAACTTGCTGACCAGAAGGTCGGCAGTTCGAATTCACAGGATGGGGTGAGCTCCCGCTGTTAGCCCCAGCTTCCGCCAACCCAGCAGTTTGAAAACATGCAAATGTGAATAGATCAACAGGTACCACTTCTGCAGGAAGGTAATGGTGCGCCATGAAGTCATGCTGGCCACATGGCCTTGGAGGTGTCTACGGACAACGCCGGCTCTTTGGCTTAGAAATGGAGATGAGCACCACACCCTAGAGTCGGACACGACTGGACTTAATGTCAGGGGACAACCTTTACCTTTACCTTAAGGATAATTTCGCTTGTTTTCATGTAATTGTAACTTTTAATTACTTCAACAATTAGAGCTGGCACATACAACATTCAAGTGCTGATTTATCACTTTAAGCACTTTATCAGAGATCTAGGATATCTGCATGCCCATCCCCCTCCAAACACTCCACCTGGTCACACCCAGCACTTTTTAATTTTAATTATTACATTTGGCCCTGCCATTGATTTTAATTGCGTCATTGTGTGTTGTTAATGTTATTGCTCTGCTTTTTGAGTTATTTTGTTGCTGTTGTTATTATTTTTTCTATTGATTTCCGATAAGAGGCCTTATTCCATTCTCGTCGAACACTCTGTTTATGAAAATTCCAAATTTATGATGTAAATGAGAATGCATAGAGAGTAACAACTGTGGAATCGAAGGACTGCTAAAATCTAAAATAAATCTTTTATGGAACTGTCTTTTTGGGAGCCAAATCAATGAATGGAGATTTATCTGTCTTATTGGAACATTTAACAGAAGACTTAGAAAGAAGAGTACATGTTTTTTGTTACCCCATCTATTCCAGTTTATGGAATTCGGTGAAATACAAAATTCCAATTGGCATGTTACTTCTTTTGTTTACAATTGGGTGTCGCATGAATAATTGGTCTTGCCCAGTTACAGGCTGTGTCTTATCTATTTCTTCTTGATCCTGTTTTGGCATTATTCCAATTGTGGGATTCGCAGACTCAACAGAATTAAAATTAGTACATTCTAGTTTCTTCTGGATATATTCTAGCTTGGAGCATATCAAGTTTAGAGTATCTAGAGCAGTGGTTCTCAACCTGGGGGTCGGGACCCCTGGGGGGGTCACGAGGGAGTGTCAGAGGGGTCACTAAGGACCATTGGTTATGGGAGAACTGTGTGCCAAGTTTGATTCAATTCCATCATTGTTGGGATTCAGAATACTCTTTGATTGTAGGTGAACTATAAATCCCAGCAACTACAACTCCCAAAATGTCAAGGTCTATTTTCCCCAGACTCCACCAGTGTTCACATTTGGTCATATTGAGTATTCGTGCCAAGTTTAGTCCAGATCCATCATTGAGTGCACAATGGTCTCTGGATGCAGGCGAACTACATCCAAAACTCAAGGTCAATGCCCACCAAACCCTTCCAGTATTTTCTGTTGGTCATGGGAGTTCTGTGTGCCATGTTTGGCCCAATTCCATCGTTGGTGGAGTTCAGAATGCTCTTTGATTGCAGGTGAACTATAAATCCCAACATCTACAACTCCCAAATGGTAAAATCAACCCCGCCCCCCAACCCCACCAGTATTCAAATTTGGCCATATCAGTCCAGTGAATGAAAATATATCCTGCATATCAGATATGTATATTATGATTCATAACAGTAGCAAAATGACAGTTATGAAGTAGCAACGAAAATAATTTTATGGTGGGTCACCACAACATTCGGAATTGTATTAAGGGGTCACAGCATTAGGAAGGTTGAGAACCACTGATCTAGAGTTAAGAATATTTGTTTAGCAAACAGTTCATAAACAGAAATAGACTCCTTATGTTCTGTGGGTTTAATCACACTAGCTCTTTCATGTCATATTTTGGATAATAAGGAAGTGTAGATCCAGCCTCGAACTGGGTGAAATGAGTTCAAATGATAGGAAAGGAGATTAGGAAGAACTTAGTGAAAACAAGAGCTGTTTAACAGTGGAACTCTCTGTCTCGGAGTGTAGTAGAAGCTCCTTCTTTGGAGGCTTATAAACTGAGGCTGGATGGCCATCTGTCGGGGGTGCTTTGATTGTGCTTTTCTTGCATGGCAGGGAGTTGGACTAGATGGCCCATGTGGTCTCTTCCAACTCTATGATTGTATGAAATTATCCTCACAGCAGAGTTTGATACCGCTTCCACTGCCTTGTGTCAATGCTATAAAGAGTTGTAGTGTTTTGAAAAGGCCTTTCGACTTCCCTGCCGAAGAGTGATGGTGCCTCAGTAAACTACAAATCCCAGGATCCCTTAACACTGAGCCAAGGCCGTTAAAGTGGCATGGAGAGGCTCCCGAAGGTGTATGAGGCTCTTTCCTACCTGAGCCGCCCAGCAGCAGGAGCGCCAGGGATCCCCAGAGCAGCGGGCCTCCCGCCATCGCTGTCCTGCCCTCCTTCACCCGCCGCCCATCCTCGAGGAAATCCTTCGCGCCGCGCGCCCACCGCAGCCTATCAGGCGCCGAGCCCGCCTCCCTCGCCGCGAGCGATTGGGCGGAAAAGGCAACGCTGCTCAAGGGGTCGCCTTGAGTGGCGCCGCTCTTAGCCTATCAGCGACCCTCAGCGCGTCAGCGCGAGCGGCTTCTGTGAGATAAAGCGCCTCTCTGCGCTTCCTTTCAAGGCTGCCATTCAGTGAGCTCTCTGTCGGCCTTAACTGCCGTGGAGACTGGGATTTGCATATTTAAAGGAGCAGCGTTTAGAATTCCAAGCCAGAGGGCGCTTGGGCCTCGCGGAACGACAGACCTTAGAATTCCACACACAGCTCTCACGTTATAACCATAGTGCAACGTGATTGGCCGTATTAAGTCCCGCCCCTCTTTTTCATTGGGTAGAAGTCATTACCTTTCAGCCTATGGGAGGACAACAAAGGCTTCCCGGCTTCCCCACCCTCTAGATCAGAACTTTTTAAACAGAGGGCCAGGTCATAGTCCCTCAAACTGTTGGAGGGCCAGATTATAATTTGAAAAAATAATGAATGAATTCCTATGCACACTGCACATATCTTATTGGTATTGCAAAAAAACACTTAAAACAATTCAATAATTAAAAGGAACAATTTTAAAAATATAAACTTATTAGTATTTCGATTAGTATTTTGGCTGATGAGATAGGATTGTTGTTGTTTTTGCCTAAGTCATTTCAGACTTAGGTTGACCCTGAGCGAGGGCCGGGTAAATGACCTTGGAGGGCTGTATCCTACCCCCAGGCCTTAGTTTGAGGACCCCTGCTCTAGATGCTAATTGGAGGCCCCGGTGGTGCAGTAGGTTAAAGCGCTGAGCTGCTGAGCTTGTTGGCCAGAAGGTCACAGGTTCGAATCTGGGCAGCGGTGTGAGCTTCCACTGTCAGCCCCAGCTCCTGCTAACCTAGCAGTTTGAAAACATGCAAATGTGAGTAGATCGGTAGGTACCATGTATTGTCGAAGGCTTTCATGGCCGGACTCACTGGGTTGTTGTAGGTTTTTCTGGGCTATGTGGCCATGTTCTAGAGGCATTCTCTCCTCACGTTTCGCCTGCATCTATGGCAAAACCTCTGAAGATACTTGCCATAGATGCAGGCGAAACTATGCCAGCAACTCATGGCTCTAGGAATCTCCAAACTTCCTGAACCAATAATCTCCTAACAAAGGACTTGACCAAAACTCATTGCATGGTCAATAAGTGAATGGCCCCTTTTTCCTGGGTTTCGGAGGGCCCTGACGGCTAGGCAATCCAGGACAATGGAGCCTCTGGACATACTGAATCACTCAACACAAAGGACATTTCCACATCTGTGAGGAACAGGGGACTGTCGCCGCCTCCCCCCTGCTATGCCATTTCTCCACTTTCATCAATGGTCAATATTGCAGGACAGTAAGACAATAGACCTGGTCTTACCAGGCCAGACAAAAATGTTATTTCAAAAGATCAGGACAATAATCCTGACCGAGGCTGGAGAGCTTAAACCATCGCTTTGGCCACACAGGGACGGAAAGGGCCATTCATAAACTATCATCATGACATTTTTTTCATTGTTTCCCTGTTGCCCGCCTCCTTCCACCTCATTGGCTGAGCAGCCAAAGCAGGGCACAGGCTGTCATTGGATCTCCTGACAGCTTGCTGACGTCACAGCCAATCACAACAAAGCCAGCTCAGGGGGGGGGGGGGCATGGGAACTTTTGAATCTGAATGCTATATATTCTGTATTTACCCGCCTAGCAGGCATGTCAGCTTATTTGGCAGATTACTGCAGTCGTCATCCTTTCCAGCTGGAATAGAAAATAAACTTTGGTGGCTTTTCTTCAACTTGGTGAGATTTATTCTGGATACTGGCTTCTTTTTCTCACCAGGCGAAACCCACAATGGTTTGGATCTCACTATCCACAGCCATTCTAAATTGCTCAACAACAGAAGGGGCCTCAGGCTCTCCCTATGGCTGAATTTACACTGACCTATACCCCAGGATCTGATCCCAATTAATTACTTTGGATTATATGAATACACTGCCAGATAATTTGGCATCAGATCCTGGGATATAGGCCAGTGTAAATCCAGCCAAAGACTCCAACCTCAGCATTAAGTTTATGGTTTACTTTCAGGAAGCAATAAAGAGAGGACTGTTTTCCTTTTTGTGTCCTCTCTGACTTTCTGTATTATTGCTTCTTCTTATATGCTTACACTACCATATAATCCAGATTATCAAAGAGATAATCCACATTATCTGCTTTGAATTGGATTATAAGAGTCTGCCATATAATCCAGTTCAAAGCAGATAATCTGGATTTTATATGGCAGTGTAGACTGGGACTCACAGCAGTGGCAATAAAGATTTGCAATCACAGCTCCTTCTAGTTTTTATTTCAAACTAAATCTACAACATTTAATTAGCAATATTAAGTTTGTTTTTTAAAAAAATTCAGAAAGGCAACATAGGCTCTCTAATTAACAAGGCAGCAGATTTTAAAAACAAGACATACAAATTAACTCTGACACTTATCAAAACTGCAGATGGCAAAGCCTGTCTTCAATTCTTATTTCGCACTCCTCCTTATATCTGCCAACCCAAGCATGCAATCAGCTAAAAATAAAGTTTGCCTTTTGATTTTTGTAATTGTCTTTTCTCATATACAAATGTATCACTTTTTCAGTAATGAATTAAACAATCATCTAAGGATGCAAAGTTATACCTTCTCACCTGTGTAGACTGCAATGTATTCCCAATTTTTTGTCAAAAGCTTTCAGTCAGGGCCACCTAACATCTCCCAACAAAGGATTCCCCCAGACAGGAATCAGGAATCAACCAGGCCTTGAAACTGCAAGGCTTTACAATGCTAATCAAGGTGATTAATTGCAACATTCACACTTGCCTCCGACAGACAAGTTCTTTCTCCCACCCTGGACCTTCCACGGATATATAAACCTCCCTTGCTTAGTTTCCAATGGTCCTCACAACCTACGAGGATGCCTGCCATAGATGCAGGCAAAATGTCAGGAGAGAATGCTTCTCAAACATGGCCATACAGTCCGAAAAACTCACAGCAACCCAAATTTCAGTTTGTTGTTCTGGAAAACGGGAATACCCAATTTATCTCAGTGGGACATATATGTAAAATCACATGATGGTGCTGGTAATAACATGTACTATTGTATTGATTGTCTGAACACACAATAGCCCAGTGATTCCGGCCATGAAAGCCTTCGACAATACCTTTCCTTTATATTTTATGTTTGCATGATACACCTACACACTACAGCTGACACACCAATATGTTGCGGCACACAGTTTGGAAAGCTTTAACTGGGTAAGTGCCTAGAGATGACACTTTCTAGACATTGCTACGTCCTTTAGTGCAATTCTGTGGACAACTTCTGGCACAAGGATACCTAGAAGACCTAGAAAATGCCTGAAGAGGGCAGACCCGGATAAATGAAACAATCCAACAGATACAATAATCATATTGCACTTCTGAACTCTGCCTTCAGCCTGGATGCTCAGGTTTCTGCAATAGTGAGGAGCACATTTGCACAGTTAAAACCAGTGTGTCAAATATGCTCAGTCCAAGAAGTATCAGATGTTCCTTAGATCAATTCTGTTTCGATTACTATAAAGTGTCTGTAACGAGATATCTAATTAGAATATAGGTTTTGAATACATTTATTAAGGTTAGTATATTGTAAGCACAGGTCTGCTTAAGCTGCAGCTGCTGTGTTGATGTGTTGCCATAGTAACAAGTTTGCTGTAGAAATGCATCCAGTTTAGCAGAGGTCCGTAGCCAAAGGGGGTGGAGCTTACTGCCAACAGGAGCAGAGCAGATATTTTTAAAAGTTAGCCAGTATTTGGCTGGAGGAGCCAAAGAAAGGTTGGTTTTAGCTATGTTGGAGCTAGACCAAGTAGTTTAAGTCTTCAACCTCGGATTCAGAGGGTTAAATGAACCAGTGTTGTATTAGTAACTAGCTTGTGAGCCAGGGGAAAGGAATTCCCAGTAATATTTTGTGTCTTCAGTAGGAGAGCTGAAGTAAATAAAGGGCAAAACTGTGCCTAAGTGTTAGTCAGTGGAACTGAGGGTAAAAGTGTACTTTTGGAAACAAATTTACACATAACCTATCGCTTAGGTAAAGAACCTACAACATTATATTTACCCAGTCAGAGGACTGAAAAAGGAATAACATTTTAAAGTCAGCTTGGCAGGAAGATAAGCCAACCTGGAAGTTATATAGAAACTGTTTCAAAGGTTCGTGATGTTAAGTTAATTGTAACTATACTAAGGAATACTGAGAAGAAGCTACTGTGTAACCATAAAGCTTTGTGTGCCTGAGAATCCTTAAATAAATACTTCTTTGTTAAATTTCTTATAACAAAGACTTGTGTCCAGTTTCTGAGGTGAAGATTTGCTTCAAGGAAGACGGCTGAAGATATTTGGAACAGGATTCAGTTTATGGTATTTGACTACACATTTTAAAGTCTCTCATACAAATCTCTCTCAAGTCTCAGCTACACTATCATAGTCTCCTCACCAACCTATTTATTATTTGTTATATCTTCATCTTTTATTAGAGTGTCCTATGCAGGCCTGACTTGTAAGACCGTTCAGAAATTCGGCTGATACAGTGAATTTCTGTCAGACTATTGACAAGGCTAGTTACACTGAGGATACGTTTCTCTTTTTTACAACAGCTCCACTGGTGACTACTAAACTGCTTCCAAGTAGAATTCAAAGAACTGACAAATTATTTCTTTTCTTTCTTAAGAGGAGCACTTCAGTTAAAATAGTAATCTTGAGATTGCATTTGAAACAGATATTCTCAGAAATGAGTTTTATGAAATGTACTTTCTGGTGAGTAGGCTTAGCAATACTTTGCGTCAGTAAAATATCTTGGCATGATGTTAAAAGGCACTTGTGCAAGATAAAACGAAAGCAAGATATATATTGCTGCAACTGGCAGTCCTGGTTTGGCTCGCTGTTCCAGAATCTCCCATTTA